ATTTGGTGTTGCTGTACAATCCACAACGGAAGAGGGGTTTGTCCCCAAAACTTCAATGTAATTGGGAAGGTCCATACAAGGTAATCAAACGGCTAAATGACGTAGTGTATCGGATCCAAACCGTTGGGAGTACAAGAAACAAGATGAAAGTGGTCCACCTGGAGAGACTTGCTGAGTTTGGAACAGCGAATGTGTCTGATCGGGACGATAGAAACCCGTTCTACGAGCTGACGGGATATGACATCATGCATTTCAACAGACTAATGTAAATTGACATGGCTAGAATACCAAGTATGACAAGGCGATGAACTCCGAAGGTTTCCAAAATGGAGATTTGGTGTTGCTGTACAATCCACAACGGAAGAGGGGTTTGTCCCCAAAGCTTCAATATAATTGGGAAGGTCCATATAAGGTAATCAAACGGCTAAACGACGTAGTGTAGCGGATCCAAGAAACAAGATGAAAGTGGTCCACCTGGAGAGGTTTGCTGAGTTTGGAACAGCGAATGTGTCTGATCGGGACGATAGAAACCCGATCTACGAGCTGACGGGATATGACATCATTCATTTCAACAGACAAATGTAAATTGACATGGCTGGAATACCAAATTCAATTTCGAGTGTTAAAAAAACGAAGTGTTTGGTTGAATCGTTCTACCATACCATCTGATTGGGGATGCCGAGCTGTTGATCGGTTTGAATACCCAGTATTTGGGGCATCTATTGGAATGCCGCCGATTCGAAATTTCTTCCCTGGTCACAGTGCAGTTCTATAGGTGCACCGTATCAGGCAACCCAATTGTAGGTGAACTCATCCGCAATAGTTTTAGCTTCCTGATATCGAATTGGATAGACCTCCGCCCATTCGCTAAAGTAGTCCTTAACCACAAGGACGTACTTGTTTTCTAGTTTGCTCACACGGAATGCGCAGGCTTCATTCATGTTTGGCCGTCTGCTTATTTCGAGTTCTTGTATTAGAAGTTTTAAGTCCGGATCTTCCTGTTGACTCTCCGTAAGTGGCATGCCTCCCATTCTTCTGCTTTTGTAATTATCACGAGTCGGACATTTTTTATGTCTACTTTAACTTTGGCTTCTGAACAATGTTTACATACACTTCACAGCGAAACTCAATCGTTGATGATAGAAAAGACTTTTCGTTATACGACTATGACGAAGGTCGAAAAGCGATTGGCAGCTCAAAGAATAATAAAGCAATAAGATCCGACGGATTACCAGCTGAGGTATTCAAACAGTGACTAAAAATTGGCAAGGTACATGCAGTAGCATCTTCGCAGTGTGCTCAACCCAATACGATATTAACGCCCGAAGTCGTAGAACTGATTAGACCTCATCCGTGTGGTTTTAGGCCTGATGAATACAGTATTTACCAGATGTACATTCTCTGAAAATAACCTGCCATCTATGCGAGAGGAGCAAAACTTATGAGGCTGTGCAAACTGACACCGAACAGTACTAGAAGTGCACTAGAATTAGGGACTTTTTCAATTTAATGCTGAAGAAAATAAAAAAGAGTTGCAGAGCACAATGAACAAGGTATAATATTTTACAAGTTTAATGTTGCTGCCGTATACAGGCCAATGATATTCATATCATTTACGCTTAGTTGTGATTTATCTTGATTAGACAAAGAAGCGAAGAGAATGGATTTGCTAATGAGCAAGGCCAAGAAGAAATCCCTGCCCGGGCGTTCGCGTTTATATTCCCACTTTCTAATCATAGATATTGCTCATAATATGAATAATATTTTATTATAATTTCATTACTGAAATCCAACATAGAACTACTCTGAAAGCTGGTGCTACTTTGGAAAGTAAAGTCCTCTATCGACGTACAAAACGACTTGTTCATCATTTCCGACGGCAATGAAGAACAATATATTATACATTTGTTGTAAGTTGTAGCTACGTATATGAATTTGTAAATTTCATTTTTCAAATCAGAGAAATAAGTTATCTATTTTTTTATTTACTTTATTATATTTATTATGTGTTTGCATTGAAAAATTTCATAGTTCACAACCTTACAAATTGAAAATTGATGGATGATATAAGATCAACAACAACAAGTGGGAATAAAATTATTTATTGTGTCATTGTATGCAAACTTTATTGTTATGTGAGACGTGGTCCAAAAATGTTTTCATATTGGCCGCAAATTATCTTATGTAGCTTTGTGAAATGTCAGCTATATTTTTCACATACATACAAGTTTTTAATGACTCATTCATTGATCTGTTATTGAAAGTCGTTAACTACTGCTAATTGTATGAAAGTATATTTGATTTGCACTTGCTTTATATATAATTACTTAATTAAACTAATTGAGTAAAAACATGAATGAAATTGCAATCGCTATCAAATAGCTATTTTGAAAGAATAAAGTTTTCAAGAAATAATGAAATAATTATATAGGTAAATCATGGTTTATCTTTTTTGAATATATTTTGTGAAGTTACAATAGATATGACTAAAGTACAATAGAACATTTTTCACAATTTGGCACATTATACGTTCTACATTTTAATTATATTTCTTTATGCATATTTTTGCAATGTATTATTTTTATTAAAATGTTTGACTAACATTTATGTAATTTTCACAATACTACATACATAGATATATGAATGATAACTTTGTTATTTGAGATTACCAGCAAATTTTTGTCGATTTTTACTACCAAACATTGTCAATCATTTTGATTTTTCTATATTTTACGAAAATCATTGAATACTAATTCTTCACATTTAACTCTAATGGTTATTTTAAATAGGTGTTACATTATTCAATTCATTCATATGTATTTTGAGCGTGTTATTTAATGCTAATCATAATCATTTTTTTCTTATTTGAACTTGTGTCTTTAAAAACATTATGTAATCTACGTAATACAAGTTTAAATTCTTAGGTATGTTGTTGCTTGCGTAATGCAGTGAGTAAAAGAGGAGGTTCCGTGGTGTTTACTTATATTTGATTTGTTTTTGTTTAAACCGGATTTAGAAAATCTCATATACTGGATGGAAATTTGTGTTATTAAAAAGCATTATAAAAATATATATAAGGTACATTCACTCACTCAGTTCGTTCGCAATTAGCTTGTTCGCTCTTTTTGCTGTCATTTTGAAAAACTTTTTCGAATTAATAAATAAATTAAAGAAAACTATGATTGAAAACTAAAGAAAATTGTAATGTTTTGGTAAGCTGATTGAGGTGCAGTAAAGGGCAAAAGTTTAGATGCTAACTAGGTTGTACCTTACAGATATTTTTATCATGGCAGAAGTTTATACAAACATACATACATTTTATTGCTGTAAAATATTTATAATTGTTCGGCCTTATTATGACTTCATGTAAAACAACGCATATAAAAAATTTGTATTATTTGAATGAAATTATTACAAAATTCCTAGCAAGAAGTCTGTGAATAATGTGTCAGAAACCCTAAACGCTTTTTTTTCTTTACCTTCCAAAGCAAATTCAATCAATTCAAATAATGTGACTACTTCAACTTCTGTAAATTTGCCTTGTTTATTTACGTTAATTACCGCATTTCGCATCTAGCCACATTCAAAAATCTTCATAAGTAAAAATGTTCGCATTTGCAGATTCTAAAGTGATGCTTTTAAACGTTTCTATGTGCAAGTCTATAGCAATATTGAAAGATAATATAATGTATTTACTTTTAAGATTGTAATTATAAGACGATTTTCTCTGATACTGCCATTGTATTAATCTCATTTTGTGAATTTTTATATTTTTCATTTGAAATCTACGAGTAATTTGGCATAAATGGATTGGATTTCACTTTTGACCCGTACGTAGACATAGTAATTTATTTGCTAGTTTTTATATTTGTTTTTTTTTTTTTTAATTTTTTTTTTTTAGAACACACTTATATTTAACTCATAAATAAATAAATTGAAATGAATATTTCAAATTTATTTTGTTCAAGTGTAATTTTGAAGATAGCTTATTCAACAGTAAAATATTTAAAATTATAACCTAAAGTAATTATATTACATCTAAAAAAAGAGTATTTTTGATTTAGTGTGTTTCACTAAAAATTAAACTTTGGCTTCGATCGAAGTAATTTGTTAACATAAAATAACATATTAACAATAAGATTCCAATTAAAATTTTGGAGGCTTTAGGATTAAATCTTTTGCTTAGCGTTAATTATCATAAGCGCTGATGCAAGATGAGTTTGCTTTGGAGTGATTTTTCCGTACTATCCGAAAAAATCACTTGTCTACAATAATTTGCGCGTATTTCAATTTATTCATAAATACTTGGTGTGGTAAATGTATTTTCTACTTTTTTTATACTCATACATCTCTTGTTTCATCGTTTTTCAATTTTCGATTCTTAAAATATATTTGTATAAATTTATATTTTCTATTATGAGTATTTTACTTTCACTTCTCAATTAAAAAGGTCTTACGGAAGTTTTGTATATTTTATGCTCTTGTCGTATTTCTACTTGTGCTTTGAATATTTTCGCTTTCCCATTTAAATTTGTAGGCTTTGTTTTTGTTTAAAACTTGTGTGCGTGGTATAGTTTGCAACTGACAAGTTCTGGTCGAAAAACCCTCTCATTTCAAAAATTTATTAAAAAAAACTTGCCTATAATAGAGCAGATGATACAGAGTCTACTCTTACATACATACTTATATGTAAGTATCCTAAATATATCTACATAAATTTTTTTGTATAACAATAATTTGAGCAAAAATTTTTTTTTTACCTTTAGTGCCCTTCAGCGATACTTAGGAAGAGATTTGGATATTTTTAAAGGCGCGACAGCGAAGCAAGAACACGCACGTTAAAAGACATACAATTAATTTTAGTTGTGATTTTAAGAACAATATATTTTCATTCTATACATAAAATTTAATTGATTACTCACAATTTGTGATAGCTGCATTCATAAACATTTAGGGAATTGCTTATAACGATGTTTTTTGTGATCTTCCATTCGGTAAACTTATATTTGTGCATACCTATGCCAATATTTAAAAACCGGCTACATATTTTGGTTTTAAACGATCCTAACAGACCACCATTATATAATATTTATATTTCCGTAAAATTATACGGAATAGGAAGGTCTTTGATTGCATTTCGGTGTACATATTCGAGTACGGATATTTGAAAATCTAAACTATATTGGAAGCGTTTCTTATTTGTTCACTCGTTTGTATTCTTATCACAAGTAAATACAACACTATTTATTTTTATTTTCAGAGATATCCAATCATATCATGAATATAAATACATACACTCATACAAATTTTAGGGAAGAAAAATTACTTGAATAGTAAAAGAGTAGTTATTTAAATTTATTAAGGATATGTCTAAGTGTCGATTTTTTTTTGAGCAAAATCTTTTATTTCCTGATAGTGATTAAAAAATTAAAATAATTTTAATAAAATAGATTTTAAAATAGCATTTCGAGCTGCCAAGCGAAATTAAAAATGTACAATAATTAATGGTATTCAGCCTTTGGTGTATTTGGTGCACAGATGTATATATAGCTGAACCAGCTTGAACTAACTAACAAAGTTTTGGTACAGCGTTGGAGACATAACTTTGGATGTTAGTCCATTTATTATTGCAGATATATATAACCCAACTAATACAGTGAAAGATATTAGTGACCCCGAGACCTTTATACCTTGCAATATACAGAAGGGAATACCAGTTTGTAAGAAAAAATTAAATTTGTACAATAGAGGGTCTAAAATTTAAAATATTTTGACAAATACTCGTACTAAAAAAAATTATCTTAAGAATATTTCATTGTGAATTAATAATGATTATAGTAAATAAAAATAATATCAACATTAATCTGAAAAATATGTATGAAATAATCTCAATTTTTATCATCTTTAAGGTTTATATTGAATGATTGAATCATAGTAAATAATATGTACCTATGCTTTTTTTCTCATCATTTCATCTTTGTTTTCATAATGAACTGCATACATTTATATATGTAATTAATTTTGCATTAAATGCAAAGCATTTAACATAAAATAGATATAAATGAAATGTATGTCATTTATCAGGAGATGACCTCGTATAAGTTTGTTAGCTGACATTTCTCTCCATCTGAGTTTCAACTAATCTTTTTTGGCTTATTTTATCTTTTACTAGTATATATTTATGAATTTATTATAATTTCAAATATTGGTTGGACGACATTTAATTTAACAACTACTCATTTGCTGTTAGATTTACGTTAAATTATTATTATTTTTTTGGTTCAATGACTTCTTCTGTACGTATGTTTTAAGATAATATGTATCCGCGTACTTATTTTTTTGTAATATTTGCTTTGTTACTCTAATATTTGATTTAAACTCATTTTATTTACCTTTCTCATGAGTATTTTTGGTTGCTTCATTAAAAGTTGCAATTTGCATTGAGCATTTTTCTTTTGGCTTAGAATTAAATATATATCCTTATAATAAATTTTAATTTGTTATCATGTGATGTGCAAGCATTTTGAGAGTATTCGCAATTGCTGAGCACAACTGATTCGAGATGCCATAATCTCTATGTGGTTCGTGATTCTTGAATTAGTATGGCGCAAAACGATTGAATCCACCTCGATACATGGTTGCCTATAAGACAAATAAAATATTAAGTAATTGTATACAAATTATTATATAATATGTCCAATAACATAATAAAGTAAAGGCAACTTACTCCATAGCCTGGCACCGGCCCGATGCCATGTCCCAGGTAAGGGTCTGCGTATTCTCTTGCCGCGTAACTGTGTTTTTCGAAAAATAAAGAAATCGGTGCAAAGTTTATAAAATAAAATTATGAATATTAAGCAATTTGTTAGTTGATAGGGAAAGGTAAGTGGTTTCAAATTCATTTTTCACCGGATCATATTGATTTTGATTGAGGAATTAAACAATTAGTAGAATACTCTAGTCCTTAACGGAAGTTGTTTAATTTTATTATAATTTTGCACGCGTTATATAAGGCATATTCTAAATCAAGTGAGTTTTCAGTTTTTCTTCTCTTCATTTTGCTATAAAAGAAAAATAATTATTAAATATAATTAATAATTGCTTAAAAAGATTACAATGCAATTGTGTAAGAAATACTCAAGAAACTTACAAACAAACTTAAACGAAAATATAAAAATCAAAAATTTAAATCGCAAAATATAATAATCGATTCGCATTTGCGATTGAAAATCAAAAAGGAGTTCGAGTTCTCGGAATCGAGAAATTCACAAAATAAGCATATTCGATCCCACGTGTAAAAATTCAATTTTCTTTTGCATTGCGGGGAGTTGCTGGTCAGTAAAAGTTCTTATCAGCAGTCATCGCGTTCGTTGAGACCACAGGCTAGTAAAAAAACGAGCTCGAGCTGCCTCGAGAGACCTGCGTGACCCTGACACAACTTAAGTCTGGATATTGTAGCAGCTGGAACTCCTACTTATCCAGACTGAATTCCAGCATACCCAACGTATGTGGAGAGTCTCCGTACGACCTGCCTTTGGTCCAACCCCGTCGAAACAGCTCGTTTCCTGGACCTCCCACTAGATGACCTCGGCGACTTAGACTGATCAAACCTGTGCCTAAGCGGGGTTAGCGAACCGCTACAATAACAACAACATGCAATGAAATATGCCGCGGATTCCTTTTATTGACTATAAAGTAATGCTGATAAATGGATATACAAAACATTAAATTCGTTAAGTAATCGGACTCTTTGATTCCAATAAATTAAGTCCCAAAGGATTTTATAACATGATTAAGAAATTTCGATTGGATTCAATCAGATTTCCCAGCAGCCCTGTTTATCTGTTACCTCGTCGAAGCTCTGACAATTATATTTCTATGCATGTATGTATGTAGGTGCTCTCAATATTTATCCTTCAAATCTAACTAATTCGAAATTGAAGCATTGAGCGCTAAACAACAGTCAATTTGTCAAACACTGTAAACGTTGAGCAAATGTAATTTTCAATTTTGACAGCACGTTATATTCGTTCATCGAGAAACCCCGAATATCGCAAAAAAAAATTATTTGTGGAAACTTTCTGGTCGTAATGTATGTATGTGTATAAAACGACAACTACGTACATATGTCAAAAGTTACTGCGGCAATAGCGATTTTGTCGGCACCCTAATGGACAAGATTTTGTTTTTAATGTTATGATAACTCAACTAGTCTAGTTTCCGTTGACATAGTTTTGTTGCTTATTATAGGAACGAAATGTTAACGAACTTAATAAAAAAAAGTTGTGTTATTTATACAAATAATAAGTCCCGCATTAGTATTTTCAGTAACGAAATGATTCATCACGACTTTATCATCCGCCTCTCGTATGTTTAGTGCGTACAGTTATAGTGGGTTATTTAGAGTAGGAGGTTAGTGCGACATTATTGCATTTAAATTTGGATTACCTATGCATGCGCAACTAAATACACTTACCCCGCGACAGTAGCATAACCGGCAAGTGCCGGCTGAGCAGCGGCGGCTGCAGCGCCGTAAGCAGCTCTAGCTGCCACCGCTGTATAGGTTGTTGCGGCTGTTGCATACGCCTGCTGAGCTTGTGACAATGGAGTCTTTAGCAGCGGAGCTGTAGCCTGCAAAGTTTTAATATACATAAATAAGGATTAAGATGCAGTCGCCAGTAAAAAGTTGATAAAAGTAGTTAACGTATTTTGTATATTACGAACAAACAAACGATACTACTCGTATAATTGCACGTCACTGACTCTTAAACGAGTGCAAAAGACTCTACTTGTATTGTAAAATATTTATATATTTAGAGTTGATTAAGATTTAGCGAAAGCAATTAATAAAATGAGAAAGTAGGAGTAGGATACATACATGTGGAAAGATTAATATGACATGCTTTAATTTTAACTTAATTTTAAAAATCACACTTTAACGTGTATCCAATTATGGATTGATCCCATTCAGTCTAGCCAAGCCAACCAATAACCAGTGAGTATATATGTTAATAAAACAAAGTAAGCAAAAGTGAAAATAAAAATTTGTTAATGTAAATACTGACGAGAACATGTTTACAACGATGTAAAAACAATGAAAATATACGAAATTGATTGTATTTATAAAATATGTATATGTGTATATGTGGTGATAATTCAAAAACTCAGTGTAAAAAACTAATTTTGATTACGGTTATAAGATACATATAGGAATGTATTTATAAGTTATTGAAAATAAATGCAAACAAGCAATTTCAATTCAACATATTAAGGCAATTTGAAGTTCTTTTGAACAATTTTTGCTTCTTTACCAAAACGTTTTGTGGTACCGGAATGCGGTTGATCGTATGTGGGGAACTGTTTAGCGTTGTCACAGTGCGGCGCTGTAAGTTTTGAAGTAGATTATATGCATGAAGTTTTTTGATTTTGTTGTATTACTAATGAGCGAAATTATGCCATAATATATGTTCTTATGTATAAATGTTAGTATGTAATGAAGAAACGAAATATAAGAACTACACAATTAAATATTTTAAATTTGTGGCAGATTATACTACTACTTACAAACAACGGTATAATAGCAAAATGAAAAAGGAAAATATTAAGATATGTGGAAAAAATAGGCATAATACTGATTCGATATTTTGTAGCAATTGAAAAGCTTGAAAGAAAAGTTGGAATAACTGCTATTGTTTTTTATTTTTATATAATTTTGTAACTGCTGAAGCGATTTTCGGCCGGGCTGTTTCACCAATCTGTGGTGCGCGACTTGATTTTGCCGCCTCCGAACGGCCGATTTGTGTTTTATTGTCGTCCATGTGGGATACACATTTTAGTTGAAACGATCGTTACTTATTAACTTTGCTAGATACTTTTTATAAAAATCGATTTAGTAAATGACAGCTCAACAGTGTGGTTTTGACATTTTCTTACGTTTAGAAATTCACGAAAAATCTTTTGAAGTTTTGCTGAGCACTGGAGATATTTTTAAAATTAGCTCATGTTGCGATAACATCTGTAAAAGGCTTGATAAAGGGGATTTATCTGCCTTACACATATAAATATTTATGTTATTTATATGGATATCTGGTTTTGAAGTTATCTTCAATTTATTGTTTGGATTCATAGTTTTTAATTTAAGTTAACTTTACACTTGTTTGTATTAGAAACGTGATTTTTCTTCCTTTTGGAGTTAGGTAACATTCGGGAGGTCCGCTATGATATGTAAATCTTTCTAAATTTCCATAAACGTACAGATGAATTAAATGGTTTAAATAAAGCGTTCAAGTAGTAAAAAAAGGCAAAAGCTTAAGCTTACAATTATGTACGTTATCATTAAAAGATTCAAAATACATATATAGTATATGCTCTAGAAAATTATAGTTAGTAAACGAAAGTAAAAATTATATGATCGGCAAAACAATTAAGTACTGAAGATGATGAAGTAATGTTTTGATAAAAACAGCTAAGAGGTTCGAAAGAGATCGAGAATTAGGAAATTACATTTAATATGGCTGCTGGCTGTGCGGCTGGAACTTCTGCGACTGGTTTGGCTGCCTGAAAAATCGTATTACGATGCAAAATATTATAAACACTATATATGTACTAGTTCATATTGATACATCTGAATACGTATTTAAATATATTCTGAATTATTAAATAATATACTTTCTTTTAGAATATTTTAATTAACCATAAATTTTAATATAACATTTAGAACTAACCTGGAAGCGCAAATTTGGATCAGCGGAAGCTGCAGCGGCTGCTAAGAAGGGATCGTAGTAAACGCTGTCGAATATAAATAAAAAAATTGCATTAATTCTAAGTAATATCATCAGATTATACAAAATTTGACCTCAATTGGTACTTAAAAGCAAAATTCAAATACGATTAGAATCTTCATACTTAAAATATGTACTAATATCTTTCGATAATAAAAGGTTTAATCAACAGAAATAAATACATGCTATGTATGCACGTATGTATTTCTGTTCACCTTTACTAATAATGAGCAAGAACTTAATCGTGTTTCCATTGGAAGATTCTTATCTGTGATTTCCACATTAAATTCAAAATATCATAATCATTATATTATATTTATCCTGTTTAAATTTTTAAGGGTTTTCAATGCGATAAGATTTTAATTTTCCTAATTTATAATTGCTAACTTCTCTGATCTGCTGATAGTACCATAAAAAGTTCTGTATAAAATAAGCATTAAACGGTTTCCAGGATCTCCTCGACGTAACATGCTTTTTTTTAATTTCAGTGCTTTGAACAATATTATGTTTACATACCAAACTAAATCATATATACCAAACAAACAACGCTTAATCTGAGAGTGTCAGTTCACAGAAATTAATGAAAACACATGCATAAAACTACTCTTCAAGATATTTTAATAGCATTTACGCATAGTACATATAATGTATATTTTAACGAATATATATTAGTGTACGTGAATGACTTTTCATATGAATATTGCAAACTAACTACCTTCCTAATAATTCACTAAGCATTTAGAGATAACAATTATTTGCATGTTTGTATAAAGTTTAAAAGCTAAAAATTGCTAAAGCAACAAAAATGAGTATCTAAATCTACTAATGAGAAATAATACTGAAATTAATTAAGATACATACATATACATATGTAATTATGTACATCTGTATATAATGAAGTTTTGGTTCACGAGTGATTTTTTTTTAATTTTTTAATAGGGAAACTAATATATTAAAATTTACCAGGCTGAAAAATTGCTTTTACTTACGGTGCAAATCCGTGTAATGCAGAACCGGCTACATTGGCTACCGCTGCTGCATTTGCCGCAGCGGCTATGGATGCAGCAGCTGCAGCGGATGGGGATTGGGCAGTGGCACCTGCGGCACTAAAACGTGCTGCATATGCAGCTGCTGCTGCATTGGCCGCCTGTGGTGTATTGGCGGCCGCGGCTACCGCTGAATGAGCTAAAGACTGAAGTTGCTGTTGGGCGGCACTGGTGTGTATAGCGGCGGCGGCAGCGGCGGCATGGGCCTGATTGGTAGCTCCAGCTGACTGCACCTGCAATGCTTGTTGCAATCCCAATTGATGATGTGCTGCCGCTGCTGCTTGTTGAGCATGATGTGGGTGGTGATGAGCCTGATGGTGTTGGTGATGATGCTGTTGTTGCTGCGCTGCTACAGCAACAGCGGTCAAAGCGGGGTTGAATGGTGTACTTACAACTCCCATATGCCCACGTTGGATGGCAACGCCTCTCATGGCGGCTGCAGCAGCGACCGTTGCTATTATATAACGCAGTTTGCAATAACGGAAGTTGAAATTCAAGGCGATTTTTGTGTGGATTTAGTTCGTTGACGAATATTAAATAACAATTGATTATAACAAGAAACAATTTGTTAATAATCGTGTTTACGTTTGTATGTTTACAGTACATATGTCGATGAGTTTATTGTTATCGCGGAATTGAAAAGTTGCGGGTTTCGTCACCCAAATGCCAAGTTCGCCCATCATTGTAAGTGGTTTTCAAATATGTTTTGAGGCGTCGTTTGTTCGATGATTTGTTTTGTGTGTGATTTGCAAAAAAAAAAAGACAAAGAAAAAGAAAAGAACAAAAAATGCATGCCGTTAGATTTGCATAATATGTAGGTATGTTTTAATGTACTTTATACGCGTATTGAGTAATTCCGATAAAAAATAATAACGATAAGTGTATGTAATGCTTAGCATTCGAAAGTATTTGCATAAATACATACGTATGCATGTACTCGTAACTGTGTAAATAATATGTGCGCTAGTGCTTGAAAGCCTCAACTGATCTTCTCCAGCCGAATTGGAAATGAGTTATAACCAATTACTTAACGTTAATTTTATTTACCTAGTATTAATTGTTCCTAACTATCACATTTTCGTTCAATTTGGATATAATTTTCTTCAGAAAATGATTAAAGTAATAGAATATTATTTTAATTGTACTAGATTAATAAACTAACGATACCATTTGAACCACTAATTGATGCATAAATACTATGACCATTGTATAATTTTCTTAGTAGAAATTGTGCGAAGAGCAAACTGAAATCATTAAATATGATACAGCGTAACAAAAAAATAAATAAATTCAGTATTGGTTATCACTTGCGAACACAGACTTTACAAACATAAATATATATGTATAAATGATGTTCATATGTATTGCTAGAAAAAAATGTTTGCTGCTGGTTGTAAGTTTTCACAAAAAAACTAGTAAATATTAAGAAGCTTCTCAAATATACTGACACAAATATATGTGTGCTATTATAATATTAAGGATTAACGCAAATATATGTATATATGTACACTTACGGATCATGCATTAATGAATAAATCCCATGGGGTAAAGCAATTTATATGTAAAGAAAACGATCGGCGACCTGCTTCATTGGACCTCATTTTAGTTAGTGACACTAACGCGCAAGAGGTTACTCTTTTATTATAATATATATATATATATACATAATGAATTTTTTGGATAGAAATTAAGAAAGTAATTCTTTACAACTGATAATATGTAATGACTAGGAACCACTGTCTACAGCTATTTGCTAAATTTTGTTTTCACTTCAGTGTGAAAAATGAATAAAATGTGGCAAGTGTAAATCAATTCTGTCGTTCAAATGTCATTAAGTTTTCTTTCAACACTGTCCTTTGATAAACGATGACATATATGAGTGAGAAGTAGCCCTTAACTTACATACTTGACCACTGTTTTTTATATTTTATATTTTTGTTATACTTAAATTTTTTTAATCAAAACTGGACCGATTATGGAACTCTTCTTATTTTGAATCAAAGACCTACTAGGGTTTCGGAAAATGCTCATAATACTAAACGAGAAACATTATTCACATGATTTAAAAGGCAGTATATTAACCCTCTAAATTGTAAATAACTTATTATGGAAGGTAAACTGTTAATTAGCGCTTGCGCTAATTTAATATACACGTATTTAAGGAATTATTATGCATATAAGAGTGCACAAATGAATTTTATGTTTCTTTTATCCGAAACAAAAAGCTTTCCTTAATGTTAATCGTTAATATTGAATTCTGCTGTCAAATCAAAGCAAGTAGCAGTTAAAAATTCTTCGTATCAACATTAAAAATTTTATTTCGCTTCGATAACATGGCGCAGAAACGAAAAAAATTATTTCAGTATGTTTATTATTCATATTAACTCAATGAAATGGCATCTTTTCGCTAGTTGACCATCTTTGCTTTATTTGTAAACCAACATTACCAGCCGTTACAATTATGCTATTTTGAACAGTCCAAATAAACGGAATTCATTATAGCGCTATCCTTAGCTGAAAACGCGTCGTAATATTAAATGAAAATTCGTTTGATCGTCACTTCATTACAGTCGAAAACGGGTATACTCTAAAAAAAAAGGATACACATACTTAAATATTTAGTACTATACAAAAACTATACTTTTTTTTGGTAAAGTTATTAAAAGATATTTAACAGGAAATTGCACTTAAATAAATGTCAACGATTGATAGTTTTAAACTAAATGATCCAAAAAAATCAATACAGCGATTTACTTGCTAATGACATTTAGTAGGTGATATAGTTTTTTTTAAGTATTTGATTAGACTTGTTGTTAACGCAAACTGTATTTTAATTCGGTTTGAAATTTTAAGTGTAAAGTGTCGATCAACTGGTATGTTCCAGTAAGAATTTTTTTATAAAAAAAAACTTATGAAATAATAATTTCAGTTCTTACAATTAAAATTTCTACAAATTAAATTCATACTCAGGGGTGTTATAGAAACCGACACAGAAATGCTTATTTATCGGAATTGAAAATCAATATCTGTTTGAAATGATGTTATGAAACCGACTTGATTTTGCTTTTTTCGAAGATAAAAAAAAAACCGATATCGAATCAGCAGTAGACACACTTGTGCAAAAAATATAGCAATTCAATTTAATTTTCGTACTGGCTTTAAACACATTTATATTTATTAAATATAAAATGACTTCGGTAGTTATAGTGTTTTTGACGATAGAAGAATTTGGATAAGCCAACCAGAAAAAAAGCGCAAAATTTAAGGGATAAGAGCAATCCACCGGAGCTGCCAGAGTCGATGCAAGTGCAATTTTCATTCTACTTTCACATTTGCTAATACAAAAGTTTTTTAAGTTTAATAGTGTTGGATGTCATTGAATACAAGTTAGATAGGATGTCTATCCCACTTGTGCTCCAACTTGCAGCGACACTGCGGTTTTTGATAGAAGACTCGTTTTAACGGTACTGTTGGTAATGAGTCAAATACCTCCTTGTAACAGTAATGCTAAAGATTTTACAACGTTTCATTCGCACACGCTAGATAAAGTTAGAAATGAACGATAATGGAAATCAGACAGTTCATTACCATTTTTACACTAAGTTTTGGTTTAATTCTGACACTTAAACCGATAAATCGGTTTCGAAAAGGCAACCGATATGAAAATCAATAATTCAGCATAATTCTGTCGGATTTTTTTTCTAATTCTGAGAAAAATTTGTTTCTGTAGCATCCCTGAGAAATAGTCATGCAAAACCATTTTATACTTTCAAAGCCAGTATTTAATATATTGTGTATTAATTACCATATAAAGTATTAAGGTGGTGACAAGGTTTGGTATTAAGAAAATTAAAAAAAAAAATTATTGAACAATTTGACATTTTCCACGGGTCCAAGGGTTATATTTTTTTATGGTTTTAAAATTGTAAATTTCTATAATTTTATATATTAGTTGCACTAGGTCTCGAACCCTGGCCCTCAGAAGGCAGTATGCAAAGCTAACCAATTCATGGTGACCAAAACGCTTTTTAAATTGTACTTATATATTTATTATATAATATACATAATATATGTATGTATGTACATATTTATTAGACATCGAAATGAACGAATATGAAACACGACCCTTTAAAAAATATCGACAAGCAAATATATAAATAAAAATGAAATATGCACCTCGAAAGAGTTAATAGGCTACGATAATGATGATCACATATGATACCACAACGCCAAACAAGAAATATAAGTTTTTTTATTTTTGTAATGGAAACAACACATGAATATTTCACTAAATCAAAAACAATCTACTAATACCTTACTAGTTTTCACAATTCTTAGAACTCAACTCCACATAATATTTACCAAAAAAAGCTGCACGCATGGAATTAGTAAAACCTAAAAGCATAAAATCTTTTCCAATATAAAAATTAAAAAGGAAAGCTCTTAGTTATTGAATTCTGCTTTTAAGTCCCGAGATCAAAAATAATCATTAGGAGAAATATATTCCTTCTATAAAATCCGCGAGCAATACCTTCGCCTTGGTGCTGATGGCCGTGATGCAAGTACAATAGGTCCAACCCCAGGAGTTAGAGTTGCAGATGCAGATGCAGTTCCAGTGGGTATTGGTGCCATCGGTGAAGCTCCCATGGGTGGGCCGAGAAAAGGCCAAGTGACTGGTAAGCGGTACCCTTTTAATACATTAATACATTTCGCTATTGCGATGAGTTTCTTAGATCAATATACGTGTAAGTTTTCATTATACACAAATGAGAGTACTTTTTTTCTTAATTTTAAGCAATTCGATTGCATTTTATATTGAAATAATCGTTCCCACCCCTTAAAGTTGAAATAGAAGTGTTTTCGACCACGCCGAAGTCTTTATATTTTTCATGCATACAGTATTTTAGGCGTAAATATTAATATAATACTGTTTGCAAATTTTTACAACTCAATTGTGATTTGTATTTAACTTTAGGGTGAAATACACCATTTACAACGCCTAGATACAATATAAGAAAAATTTTCCGATTATTATTCGATTTATCGTTATTAAAAAGACTAAAAACTTTATTATTGTTGAAAATTTCATAAAAAAATATAAATATCTCATATGGTGGTGATAGTATATATTTGTTTTTTATTGAAAACAATTTTTTTTTTTTTCGAATTAGAAAGCTATTTATTATATTTATACATCCGAAACGATAACAGGGAAATAGAAGTACTACTTATTTGCATTTCGCTTCAATAATCTAATTCGTAATGCAATCCTAAACTGGCAAAAAAAATGTATGAGGCTTTCAATAGGATACCTTTTTTGTAATGTGCAACGAAATGCTTCACAAAATATGCTGATTCTCATAAGAGTTAAGTACTACTTCACGGCTGAGTTGAATTTTGGCAGATAAGCTGGAAGTATGCTTTATATATATTTAGAGGCTCACCAAGCGAGGATAGGCGAAATGTTGCATAACATTAAATATTTTCATGCTTCCTCAGTTCTCTAATGCATCATATTTGAGATTCGCACAAAAATAGTATACCACGACAATTTCTTTCATATCGTAAAAGTATTGTATAATTTTGTTATGTCATACAACAAAAATACAAAATATCGTACAATTTTTATAAAAGTAGAGGTTTTTATTATGGTATACTTCCGGCTTTCCTCGCGACGTAGACTTTCATCTGTCAAGAAAGGCGAAGCAGGAGTCGAATCGAGCGTTCCGTGAACGTATTGGCAGTCGTACGAAAGAAAATTCCATAATACATTAATCGTATAATATTATTGAGATAATGCAATACGAAAGCAAACGGATAGTAATTATTTGAAAATGTACAATTTTGAATCAGCTGTTCGTAAATGCTTAATATTTTGTCAAATAAAAGCAATTATGGCATACATACATACTATTAGCAGTCATTTTGATAAATTAATTCTTTGTTCAATAATATCGTATCGTTGGCAAAAAAGTATGATATATCTGTGCTTTTGTTTGTGTATTATATGTATGTATTGTGTTGCCCCAAAATAAACAGACGATTTTTTAAATGAAAGTAAATACACTTTAAGTTAAATATTTTAATTGCGGTCACCCCTCAGCAGGGAATGTCAACCTCTCCATCGGCAGAAAATTGTTTCAACGGTTACAAAGCGCCAATTATAAATATATAAATACATTTTTTAATCTTTATAATGAACTTTAATCAATTATGTAATTTATGTAATCCCTATTTCACGCTCATAGCACTTCTGTCCTTTATCTGCAAAAAACTAAACCAAGTGCGATTTTATAGCCTCGTAATTTTCGAAAGTTTTACCATTTAATGAGTTTTGGAAAGGTCGAAACAAGTGGTAGCCTGACGGTGCAAGGTCAGGGCTATGTGCGGTCTAGCATTATCCTGGTGGATTATGACACCTTTACGATTGATCAATTCTGGCCGCTTCTCGTTGATGGATGTTTTCAATTTGTCACAGTAGACATCATTTGGTTCGTTGAATCCGATCACATCAAACTGAGAGCATCATTCTTCTTTTGGTGAGTATCAGCCTTTGAATTGGTTTAAGGCGCTTCATCATGCTTGGACCATGATCGCTGATGTTATTGTAAACAATCCATTTTTTATATCCAGCTATGATTTGCTTCAAAAACGGATAATATTCATTGCGTTTGAGATGCATATAACAAGCGTTGAAGCGGCTTGTTAAAAAACTTTCTTTCAATTCATGTGGTACCCAAATATCAAGTTTGATATTTGATATCGTCATCATCAACTTCACTTGGCCGACATCAACGTATCTTATCTTTGAGTGAAAAATTTCCTGAACGGAATTTGACAATCCAACTGCGACACTGTGCTTCTTTTAAGGCCTTATCACCATACAAATTATGCAACTTTTTAGCAGCTTGCGCTTAATTTTTTCCTTTAAGGATATAATAATGTAAAATATGTCGAAAAAGTTCTTTTGTGGGTACTATATTCATATTGACGCCAAGCAAACAAATATTAACAAAATTTCGCGTACTTTTTCTAGGGCAAGCTAAAAGTGACGGCTTATAACTGTCAAAAGAAAAAATACAATTAAAGTCACAAGATGTTCAAAAAACTTCTCAACGCCTCTGTATGAAAAATCGCCGGATTTCTTTTTGGGGCAACTCAATATGTTCCAATTGTCGTTGTAAAAACAATAAAATTAAATGGAAAAGTAATTAGAAGTAAAACACGTCGAATAACGAATAGATGGTTTGAATGAATAATATGTAAAGATTCCAATTTCAACTTAATGAGCTTGAAAAAAATAATCTCTAAATCATTTAAAGAATGTATTGGTCGATTGTTTCGGCTTCAGTTATTCTTAAGTCTGGTACTGAGTTCGTATTTTAGTGAACGTCAGAAAAATCTGGGAGGGCGTGCGATTTGGAAAACTTGAAACTTGCGTGTGGCCGAGATTGAATATTCGCATTTTTCGTATTTATTCCATTGTCGATTTGAAAATAAATGCTGCTAGCAACATCTAAAAAAACTTGTTGAACTCAATACTTAATAACAAGTTTATAATAGAAACGAGGGTAAAATGCATTATGGCTTTGCGGTAAGGTTTATTTTTAGAATGTAAAGAAATACCAATACTGACTGTCATTTTACATTTATTTATATTTTAACTTTGAAAATTCAATATATTAGCAGTGATTTTTCGAAAAAATAACTAGAGAGGAGAATGTTTCGGAATATACTGTAATCAAGGGAGTTGCTCGTAACAAAATTTACGTACATAAGCAGTGTTCAATTGAAGCACATAACAGAGAAATACAAGATAAAGTAGGTACATAAATACAAATGTATGATTAAAAATTAACTTACTTAAGTTCGTACATAGATTACCTACATTTATATATGAACCAATATTGTTATGATTACCAAACATGCATTTCTTTGCATATTCATTTGAAAATAATTTTCTTACACTACCGCGTTTTAATCGTATTTAAACATTGTACAGCCAATGAAATTTTTGGGTTTTCACATTTCACATGCTTTCAGTTATAAACTCAGTTAAAAAAGAAACTTTTCAACCCTGGTCTAAGAAGATGTCCCTGATGATTAGGGTTTCTACATATGGTAGTAGCTTTACATTCATAATTATTTCAAATGCATGTATTTTTCCCTCGCATTTAGTAAATATAAGTTTTAAGCTGTTGCAAACAAAAAATTACTAAGTAGGACCAACACTAAAAATAAGCTTTATAGTTAATACACATTTCTCAAATTGAAATACAACCTCAATTATCACTTGAGTGTTTAAGCTATATATACTCGTATACAAGTAAAGTGAATATTGATCAATTATTTAGACAGTATGCAAAAATTAAACTGCAAAGATAAGGAAAACAATAAACTGAACACATGACAAACAATTTTTTAAAGTAGGTTTTGTATTGAATATAACAGTACATTAAGAAACAATAAACTTCCGTTTATTTATGGGTTTACCTTTTCAACTATTAGAAGTAAAAAATATTTGCTTACGAAAGTAATCCCAGTGCTCTGATCTAAAGTAATATTGTATTTCTAAAGCAAAGGATTTTTCATAACCTAAACGGGTTTCGTTGTAAATTTGTAGCTATATAATATTCCTTAAATTTACACTCACTTGCCTATGTTATTGAGTACTGAATAAATACCTCAAATTTATCCCTAAAATAATATTTCAATACCACTGGAATAGTTATGGAATGCCAAAAATATACTGCGGATATGATAGCTTCAGATTACAATATCAACAAAATATTCATGTAAAATGTGCTAAAAGATAGAATATTCTTACCTTCTGGCCATTGAACGCACACTAGGACAGTGATTTTCCAGTTACGTTTAGAGGCATTGGTTTTGTTGACAAAGTTAAGAGAACCGATGATTATAGGACATGTAAAGGAAGAAAAGGCAATTTTTAAATTTTGTTTACGTTACTTCTATTGAAGTATAAATTTACATAAGAATATCATTTATTCATCTATTTAACCTAGATTTTTTTACCAATGTTTAATTATAGAATTATTTTTTTTTTTTAAGAAAATATTTATTTAAAAATTACACAAGACAAGGCTTTGCTTTATTGCTTCAACGTTGATTACGTTTACTGGATAACATGCTAATAGAAGTACATACCCTGTTGGAAAATGGGTAATGTGCTATATTATTTTCCCGAACAAAAAAAAATTAACAAATTTTAATGTACGATAATATGCATGCCAACGTTAGCGAAGGATGAAGTAATATATCGCTATTCATGGTGCATTTCATATGTTAGGGGTTATGTAATCTGTAATATATTAATGGAGTAACGATAGCATTACCATACATATCCTTTTCCAAATGGGTATGTACGTCAATATACACGAGTAAATACATATGTATAGAAGCAAGAAGTCTAGCTCACTACGAGGAATTTTATGTTAAAGTCATGTGCTTCTTCTTTCATACTTCATTGTCAATCAATAAGATATCATTCCCAACATTTAATGGTGGAAAATACATAGCTTAATCAATTTAAGAATTCAATAACATGCAAAGTAAGCCATTTGATTCCTCTTGGATTATTTGGAGGGGGGGGGGAGGGGGATTTGGTACTTTTAAAGTAAATATTCCAAAAAGGAGCGATTTATTTGGACTAGTGCAACATATCGAATAAACGCATGCCATGCTTTATTATGCACGAATTTTATAGGAATTTTGCTTGTTGAAAAGTCTCTTTTTTATAAGTTTACTTTTATTAATGAAATATGTATACGTTCTGCTGTTGCAGTTAGTTGTACATAAATTCCTAACGGCCACAATAAAATAATCGTAATATCTAATCTTCGTTGCTTATTAGGGAATCGCTTCCCTATTAAGAAATAGACGATTTAGGGAAATTTGTGTAAATGAGGTTTATTTTGAAAGTTGCATGACTGAGCTTCTTTTTATTATTTTTTATACATGCAACCATGCAATATGTCATGCTAGATGATAGAAACCATCATGTATATATGTATACTTATATAATCAAGATACATACGAGCATATTAGTTACTATGTGCAGTATATATCATTTACATTGCTTACTTATGTAAAATACTATATTATTTACATTTCTGCAGTTAAGCAAAAATTAGTATGTATTTTAGTTTTCTCATAAAAGTTTTGCTCACCTAGAGCTGGAGCCGGTATGGCGCCGTCTTTAGTCAGAACAACTGTGTATGATTCAAAAAACAAGAAGATTTAATAAAATTTATATCACCTCAAGATTATGTATGTGAGTTAGTCAAAAAACAAATACAAAAAAGAAAACTCCAACAGATAAGTAGAAAATAATAATTCAATTCAACTATGAGCTTTTTATTTACGTGTAAGATTGTAAATAATTTAGCACATCAAATATGTGTGGCAAATGCATACTCAAGTTAGTCAACTTTATTATTGTAAACTTTTCTAATCATAGTTGAAATCGGCTCTAAAGCATGTGGACGGAGGAAATGTTGTCACTAAAATTTTATTAAATCTTTTTTAGTCCGCTTTTGTTAAAGTAAAAGGTGAAAATGTCTTATTAATTTGGTATTGTATTTCGATTTATCGGAAAATTCTAACGAAGTTTTATTTGGCATATTAAGTTTTTTTCTTTCTTCTCTTGAATAGAAAGGTATTATTGATTTTAAAGAAAACACGCGAAATTTAAGGAAGACATTTTAATAAAAGTAAAATCAAATTGCAGCTAATTTATAAAACTATCATTTATTAATCTGAGGTTCATTTGGTGCCCAAAGCATTCTTCTAAATTAAAAGGATCCAAAATAAGTTCCTATGTACAAAAAATAAGATCACTAATATTCTAATTCTACACGTTCTAATTCCCAAAACCTAATTCCTCAATACAGACTGTTCTCCTTTAACGGTTAAATTTACTATATGATTAATATTATTAAATTAAATTTAATAAAATTGAAATGTTAGTACAGTATTAAAGTTATATTATTACTATACTTTCATTTCAAATATTTTGGTTTCATTGAGAAAAATGCAAATCATTTGTATTTTGTGTTTGCTAATTCTTTCTGGTTCAAATTTTCCCGCTGCACGAATTTGCAGCTTTTGCTTTAAACTAATTTTAAAAATTGTTCTCGCGTTGCAAATTTAACTTGCCTTTCGTCTTAACGAACGCGGTTGAGTGACAATTAGTAAGAATTATATCTCAATATGCAAAACTTTTTATTACACTTATGTACGCCTGTTTTTACCAAACACAAACTCTTTCGTCATCGCATCATATATTTATAGATCATTATAACTACTGAAGGAGAAGGTCGGCTGAAATATATCGATACTTTGAATATATGTAAGTAAGCTCCGGGAAGTAGTTTGTCAATTTTCTCTCATACCATTTAAACTGAAGCACACATATATTAATAAATTATTTATTTTTTAATAAAATTTAGTTTGATTAATTTACTTACCATTTGGGACAGCTGCTACTTTTTTCGTTTGCACACGGGCTGTGGCGTTGTTCACCTTGTTAGTTAAAATATCATTCATCGCAATGTGATTCCATGTAGGTTTATATAAGTATATTTCGAAAGAGTGAAAAATTGTAGAAAATGTTAGTTTCAAACATATGTACATACACACATCCATAACATATAAAAGAGAGTTAATTTGTAACGTTTAATGAAAACTTTGTTGGTAAATCCGTTTTATCAATTAAGTATTGTGGTACCTTAAATATAAATTTGCTTACTCTGAGAACGCTTCAATTTCAACAAAATGTACATCGCCCAGTTGGTGGCATCCAATCGAAGCTGTGTGTACAAACCACAATAGTAAATTTTTCTGGTCACAGCTGAAATTTGTTTTCGATTTTTATTTTCATAATGTATGTATTTATGGGGTTCGATTTGCGGTGGATATGAAGGCCTCCGCAAGAAAATATATTTCAATTTTTCAACGAAAAAAATAGCAGCAGTGACATATACTCAAGCAAACAATTCAAATCCGCAGAGCAATTATGTACAAAAAAAAAGCAGAGTAATAAACGTTTAAATATCATTACGCTCAGCTAACAATTTAATGTATTTACGTATATACGCATGCTCACAAAAACGTACATATATAAACGCGCACGTAGCAACATATGTATGTAGGAATGTATACATGTGCGCTGGATTATTAGAATGTTTATTAAATGCAAAAGTAATGTACATATACATATGTATGCTCTAAGAACGGAGTACAAATTAAAATTAGCATTACTATGTTTATAAAAAAATATGTATATCTTTTATACCTGCACCTGCTTTAAATTAATCTTAAAAACAGGAAATGCCATTCCGATATTACCAATTTCATCACTTTCAGTTTCTGATAAAATCGTCCACTGAGCCTCAACATGCACAACCTTAATATAAAAAGATAAGGCTTGTAGCCAAGCCTGTCTCCTTGAACTATCGGTATATATGAAACAATGCCTTCCAACGGTTTTAACTAATCGGTTTAATAGTTTATACACACATACGAGTACATAAATACAAAATACGATATTATTCTCTGTTTAGGATTAAAATAGATGAAGTGCTGTTATTTAGCAAGAAACACTTAAACCATTTTTCAGTGAGTTTATACATATTTTGTTAGTTGTGTGTAAGGACATTTCTGAATGACATCTTTTCCTTTGAACTTACTGCCATAGTGCAGTGCAGTTATGGCAATGGTTTATATATATGTTTATAAATATATTTAAGTGTGATAATTCCATATCCAACTTTCAAAAACATTTGCTCTCTTTTGTTGGAACTGATGTTGCTATTTTCATATTTGAATTTTTCAACATCACTAGCTCCCTTTGACAATGTGTGTGTTTTAGTTTTGAGTGGTAGTTCGCCATAAAGCATTCTTGTGTTTGATAAGTGTTCTTCGCACCAAAGTAGGTTATGTATGCGCTATTGTTAGCTGCGAGGATATTGCGCTGTCATAGTTTTTGCTTCATACAGAATATTTTACGCCTAGATGTTTTGATGGTAATGCGGCAACGCTAAGGTTATATGCCAGTTATGGTAAATTTTAAATTAACGCAGCAACACAAGTGTACTTCTTGGTAAGTCTGGATTTTTATATGTTTTACTATATTTTCTTGTTTGCTAGGGTAACTAATCCAGCTCTTTGTTAAACTAGTACTAGTAAAGTTTTAAAGCAAATCCCCAAGTAACTTTATTATATATTTATTTGTTAATGAATTCATTCTTTGAGATCAGAAAATAATTGGGAAGGTATCATTCAAAAAAATTCACGTATGAAAAAGTAAGGTTCAACAGTTAATCTCAAATAAAGGAAATTGCATGACTTTAATTAAAAACTATATCAATTTTGGTCCTTATTTAATAATATTAAATATGGAATTAAAAAAATGTCTTTTTATTTCATATTCTCGATCATTAAAACTTTTTCATTAGTTAAAAATAAAATGTGTATCGTATTTATGATGGCATGACAGAGAAGAGCTTGAGGAATCGAAAAGGAAAAATTTTACTTTTTTTTGTAAACGAAAAAGTATGACATTATCTACAATAATTCATTTATTTATATTTATTTATTAATTTTTTACTGCCGGGTACTAATAGATGAAAATAATATACATACACCACACCACTGTGCGAAGACGTATTAAAACCCATGCAAAATACAATATATCTTTATAGTGGAACAAACAAAATTTTTGTTCGAATTTAGTGACTTTTTTCAAGAAAAGTAACGAACCAAACTTACTTATTATAACGTATTTCTTTGATTTTTTGAAAAAGTTTTATTATTAAATACATGTAACGGCTATCATTCCCTTGCAAAAATATTTTGCAGGACAAAGTTTGCATTATTTCACACGTCTTAATATGCAATTAGTACAATTCAGATGTTAGGTAGACTATACACCTAACAGTAAAACCAATGTGATTGGTTAATAGGATTCGAAAATCCATGTTATTCCGCATCGTTTTTATGTTAATGTTATATAATAAAATACTTACGTTTGTAAGTTTGGTTCGTACATCTAAGCTCATTTTTTTGGTAATTACAGGATCCTGTTTTGTATATTATATTCTACAAAGAGTCCCACCTCAAAGTAAGCAAATTTTTATTTACCTAAAGGCTAAGTTAAAATTATTTTGTTATGTGATGTGATCAATAATATTTTTATATATTTATATTCATAAAATATTCACACATAGTAATAAATACATACAAAAAATAAAATAAATGCAAAAAATTAAATAATACAAATGCAATACTACTATACATAATTAAGTGTGTACGTTATAATATGAATAAAATACTGAATTAATCGTCTGTTAATATAATATATAGTTGAAAATATTCGTACAACATGCACCCACCTCGATTTTGCGTCCCTCAACCACAGTGCCATGAAGACGTTCACGGGCTCTTTCAGCGTCATTGCTATTTGCGAACGTTACAAAGCCAAAGCCCTGTTAGATGTCACGTATAACATCACAGACATACATCATACCGTGCCACAGTGTGCATTGATAATATTGCAGCATCGCATTATGAACATATCGCAATCGCATGCAATCGGACAAGAAATATAGTGAATAAATAAAAAAAATATTGTTATTCTTTAAAACAGTTTTCAATACATTCGGATTAAAAAATTAATATATGTACATAATAGCCTAAACTCTTTATGCTTCAACTAAACATGCAATAATTAATATGAACTCTTCTTCTGCATTTTTAAAACAAATCAATAACAAATTGGACTTAAAGTTTTTAATAGAAACTGTGACCGAAAGCGTTGGTAATGACAATTGTTTTGATCCCTGCAAATTGCTAAAACTTCCATTTGATTAAATATACATATAAGTATACAAAAATATACACTAATTAGAAACAACGGAGACAAAGGTGATTACTATGTAATAGACGTCTCACTATCTGACAATAAAAATGTTAGAAGTTAGGTTCAACTAACGATAACAGTGGCCCACGTGCATAGCAATGCCGTTATGGTGGAGAAAAGCTGATGAGTTCCATGCAATAGCTTCAACGCAGTCGAAGGAAAATATTATGTGTGACTCTCTTAACACTGTGAAACAATGACGAAGAGTTGAACCAAATCTAACGAAGTTTTGGACAATGACGCGACCAGAAGCTTGAACGGTGAAAACTATGACTTGAATGACAGATATTGTTCTACAAAAAATCTTGCAGCATTTCAAGTTGTTTCCAAAAATTATATTAATGACTGGTCAGATTTTTCCTTGCAGAAGTCGACGATAAATATATATATTATTTTTCCTTATATTCATTTTTGCTACTCTTATATTTTTTAAGTCTTTTTCCCGTAAATTCTAAGCGGTCCTCCCACGACATTGTTTTTAAAGGCTCATATTCGTTAAGGGTGTTAACAGAATTGTAAAAGTAAGTACGCATAAATAAATACATACAAATGTGCATATATACTAACAACATAAGATAACTATCCCTTTCTCTCACCTTACTGCCGCGTTCATTGAAAATGATTTCCACGTCCAATATGGTGCCGAATTGCTGTTAATCACCAAAATTGTTTCGATATGTGTCGAATTTAGAAGATAGAAAAGGTAATAATTTTAAAACATATGTTTTGATCAATAACCAGTAACCAACATAAGGTTTATTAGACTTCGAAAAAATCTGATGACCCAACTCACCCCAAACATAGCGCGGAGATCAGGATCCCGGAATCGAAAAGGTATATTGGAGACGTGTAAACGTTTCGGTTGATTTTTGGCATCGATTATAGCTTGTTGCTGTTGATTTAGTGGCACTAGCGCTGAAGTGAGACTAGTTGCAACAGGCGTTGATGGCACAGCAGAGGTCACAATGCCACCACCAGCAGCTACGCTAGTAGCGTTAAGACAGGCGAGGACCTGAGATGTGCTTGCCCCACTTACTAATGGCGACAAAATCGCTGTTGAGTCAATTGAACCGCCAACGGATTGGGAAGCCGACATGCTTGCAGGTAATAGACCAGGGTTTGTTGTACTAGTAGCAGTACTTGTCGCAGCCAATGCTCCTGTAGCAGCTGAAGTCGTAGTAACAGAGGTGGGAGCTGCTGATACAGTGGTTTGACTTGCTCCTATGCCAGTAATGAGCTGCTGTTGTTGGTGTGTACTGCTGAGCAGATCTCCTGTAGTACCAGTTGACACGGTGGTTGTAACGGCGGTGGCGCCGACAGCAGTTGAAGTACTGCTCTCGGTCGAAGATGATACGGCCGTAGCTACTCCACAACCGTTTGCAGACTGACCCTGGATGCTAATACAATTGCCTGTACTATTAGTCGATGTTGCAGCTAGCGGAACGGAATTATTTGCCATCGAAGTAATATTGCCGCTTCCGCCACCAGATACTCCGCTAGGGCTGCTCAAACTACCTTGTTGTTGCTGTGGTTGTTGTTGAACAGTGTTTGCATCTGCTTCATTTTTAAGCAATACTGAAGACTGAAGGATGTGGAATAGAAGAGAAATATGTAGGTTAAAATGCAGTGTTTTGTACTGTCGTCAAAGAACTATGAGACGAAATAAATGATCTACGAGTACGAGAAAAGGTTTAATATAAAGTAGGTATCATGCATGCATTTTATAATAAATATTATGTTTAATATTATGGCGATATATGATATGAGTGAGTCAAGACATCGAACTTTTCCGAGTGGTTCATAATAAGTACTAAAATGCCTCTTGCTATAGTTTTACCATTTATATAAAGAATTCTTGTGCTGTAAATACTTTAAAAAGACGATGGCTAGAGTCCTTGAGTCTGCGATAAAATTATTGCAGGGTACATACATTATAACGTATTTACCCTTATATATACTATGCATTTGGCCCAATTAAATGAAATTAAAGTATTTTACATACTCCACTGCAATGCGGAGCTGAACCAACTCGCAGTTCGCGCCAGTTAACTGTTAGCGGGTAATTGCTCAAGCTTTAGTGATCACACTTTCTGTACGAAGTTGCAATGCAGTTAATACTGATTTTTTGGAGAATTCAAAAAGATATCACTAAAATTTGTTTTCTAAATATATAATTAAACTTTGTAAAATTTAACAAAATTATTAAACAACAGTTATTACTAAGTTTTTAAATTTAATTTTTATTTACATAAAATTTATAAAACTGAAATTGAGTCATTTGCATTTTGTTATATTCCCCCCCAGAACTTAGGAGCGTAACAGCCGAGTATTAAGAATCAATAACGCTTATAGCTCGTCTATAGGTATAAATATATTTATGGAACAAGATCGGCAATGTTTTATAGCTACTCGTTGCTCAACACTAGTTAAAAGAATTCAATATTACAGTTATAATTTCATTTTTTTCTGTTCATGTTGCTGTCGCCTTGCGCGTTTATTTCACTGCCGCTTTTTTGAGGTTGCCAAGTTAGAAATTCCATTAAAACAATGAGGAATAAAACATGAGACGAATTCGTTATACAAAAGCCAAAGGCGACAAATGTGAAACAAACTATTTTTGGTATAATGGGACCACGTAGCGAATAAGGGAAACGAAATGAAATACTTGGAATTTTTGTTCCTGTGCAGGTATTACACGTGCATGAGCAACAACAATGAAATTATATGTATATGTGGAAAATTAAAACAAAAACAAAAAATATATATGCACAGCTAACACAAAGACACGCATGTTGGCATGTAGTTAGTCGCGGTCCAAATTGCAGTAATATACGCGGTTAAATGGTATAACTTCTGATTGCTATCCTTTATAGAAATTTAATACATTCAAAAGTATAGAAGAAAAGATAAATATTCACTTTTATAGCATAATTTTGCAACGTGTGAACTAAGAAGCAATAGAATTGTCTCAAGAACATAAAACCGTCTTGAGATCGGAGGAACTTCACACAAGCCATCTACACACATATGTATCATGGTAGGACGAATATTTTGATTATCGCATTTACGAGGCATTTAGATAACTTGCATAACATGATAACAAGATGGTAGTCGTCCCTTTTCGTCTTTGAAACTTATCAGTTAGAGGTACGAAAAAAAATAATTCTTTGCGATAACACAATGCAGAAAAACTGACATATGTCCCACGCAAAGTTAATTCAAGCAAGCTGATGTTTTTTAAATGAGTCTCCTTTTGTATAGTAATTGTAAAGTGTACTGAATGAGGATCATATCAACAAATATACATAGGCCGGTTTATTTATTAGATATGCAACAATAATTACTCATTCCATCAAAACGAATAACTTATCTAATTAGCCAATAACTACCAATATATTTTGAATGTACATAATATATATGTCAGTAAAATAAAAAATATGTTAAATATACAGCTATTTCTGTATACGAATATATCCAAGAAATCTAGGACACTTGAATTTATTTTACCCCATACAAATAGTTTTGTGCGATGAGCCCAAATCTATAAGTATAAAAGGCTAGGTTCTAAATGATTAACGGTTTAACCCATAGCCTAAGAAAATTGAAATGCTGAACACTTTTTTTCGAAAAATGGCTTGGTGTCAATCTATTCGAAAAAAATTATATTTATGATTCGATTTTCTTAATATTTGGAATATATGTATGTAACCTATTAAATCTGTATCAAACCGTTCTGGAACCGTTCTTTCTGAAACAATCATAATTATGGTTCGATTTGCTTGGAATTTGGAATATAGATAATCTTCTATCTAGGTTATCTAACATGTCGGGAGCGGGCCAGGGAGCGATCTATTCGAAAAATTCCAGTTAGGATTCATTTTTCTTAATATTTTCATGATAATTGATATATTTGTTGAAAATCTTTTTAGAACCATTCTAGTATTGATTTCAGAACTGGGTTTGAATTTTAGATTTATGTTCATTTGCCCGTAATACTTGGTTGTTTGCTGAATAAAACTAATGAAAGAAAACTAAGCTACCAAATATCATTTCATTCATCACAGCTTTTGCGAAAAAAAGTAGTTGATTAAATTTTGGCTGAAAAGTTTCCATTGTCAGTGTTACAAAATTAGTTTAAGGGGTAAGACCACTGTAGATGCTTCAAAAATTGATTTTTGTATTGTCCGCTCCCCTATATATTTGTATGTCTCAAAACTTTGAATGCATTTTTCTCGAATCAGGTTTTTTGAAGTTGGATTGCAGCATAACTCAAACGATTTTCAATATTTTTAATTGGCTGTTTTCTTACACCTTTCCGTTTTGAAAAAAGAAAAATTACTTTAAAAAATGACCATACATCCGCCATTTTTAAAGAATTTTTTTTTGTCTTTCTTTCCACATAAAAAAAATTCTTGGAAAAGATGTTTTTTGGTACAATGGCCATACCGCTTATAATAATAATAATATATATGGTGTTAAGAGTTAAACATTTATTAACGACATCTGAATGCTATAAATGCAATTTATGAACCAGTTTTATTGCTTAAAATTTATTCAAAATATTTTATTTAAATAAATAAGTGCTTGTTAAAACCATTCCAACCCTGGAAACGAACTTAGTGAAACCGTCATAAGGGCCGAAAATATGAACAAACACCAATATCCGAAAAATCAAACATGTAACATATGTATGTATATAAAATCATAAAATTAACTAGAAAAGCAAAACGTATCGAGCACATCTTATTTCTTAACATGAATTATAATTTACATTTACATTTGTTCGTGACTACTGTCGACATTGGTTAATACTATACTTAATGTCACTATGGTATATGTTATATGTATGTATATTATAAGTATTTTTTATGTTATTAGAGAACACTAAAATTCATTTTGCAAAATCTGCTCCAAATCGAAAATCCATAAAAACCAAAACCAAAGTGGATGCATGACAATCGCCCTTAAATTATGCTACGTTCGATATACATAGGTACAATTTTTGTATGTATGCATTACACATTTATTATACAGTTATAGTTACGAATACATTAATGAAAAAGTTATGCGGGGATGCAGTTACTGTAGTTGTAGTGGCAAAAATATATGGCCGCAGTATTAATTAGGCTCTAGTAAAAAGGACACATTACGAGAATTGTCATTCCATTCCATTTCATTCCATATATAATACATAGGTATGTATGTATTCAATTCAATTGGATTTTTTTTTATGTGGTGGTAGTAGTAGTAGTAGCTAAATACAAGTACGAATAATTTACATGATGCAAAGAGAATTTGCATACTATTTGGTACTTGGATATTATGTGATAGGTGACAGGTGTGACATATGGCAAGTGGCAAGTGTAGTACCAACAACTGGCAGTCACTTGAGCCACGCGCACAGCAATTGTAATGCATTGTGCAATTGTTTGCTTATATGGCAACAAGACTCACTAGGGTAATACTTTGTGGTTGTGACGTCGACGTCGTCACCGTCATAGTCAAATTTGGCGTCTGGACCGGTAGTTGTGACTGGGATTGCGTCTGTGAATGTTCTTGGATTGTTTGCAGGTGCATTTGGTGGTTGAAATGTGTATAAGGTCGGTGATGTTGAAGTATTTGCACTTGATGTTGTTGTTGTTGCTTTTGCTGCATCTGTTGCTGTTGTTTGTGTTCAAAACCATTTAGAACGATCGTCGGGGACAAACCATTACTGAGTGCGACACCGTGAGCGCCATTATGTGTTTGAACTCCATTTACCAAAGTGGTATTCACAATAGCTGCTGATGCTGGTGTTGTTGTTGTCGTAGGCGATGTGATCGGAGAAACAGTGCAGCTGTTGATGTGAGGAATTGCCGTAGGCAGATTTGTCTGCGGGAGAGCGATGTTTAATGTTTATTCACTTTCATCTTAAAAGTACATACGTGGCTTTAATTAATTGTCTATGGCTTTGTTTTCTACTTTTTAGTTTGCATTATTAAAAGAATAAAAAAATAATATATTTGTTGCTAAACCAACACCAACAATTTATTATAAAAAAGCTATTATATTCCAAACAAGTAAACCTTTATTTCTCGACTATATGAGTACAAATAAAATACTTTGCTTGATGAACGTAACATGCGTGGCGCTTTGCTTGCTTGTCGCTAAACGGCAACCGTAGTAATAGCTAACAAAAGGAGATGAATGTTAAGGGGGAAGGATGAGGAATTTGATATTTAATGCAGCTTCTGCTTATCAGTTGCGACATTGGAAATTGCGATTGTCTAAGGTTATCGTGTAAGCGCGACCCGAATCGCTTTGGGAGATAAACTACAATAGAGAAATGTTCAGACCAAATTGTCTTATATTATAATACTGTACAGAAAATTTTTAAATGATTAAATGACTTTTTTTTATAACTTTTTATATATTTGTGTGTCTGTAATAATAAAACATGAGAATTTGGAATATACATTTTTTTAAATTATTTCAGAAGGTTAGCCTAAAATTTAAAAAATACAACAGTAAATATAATAAATGGGAATAAACAAAAACCATAACTCATTACATACTAATTGAGACAGCGATAGAGGATGAGGCTAACAACCCAGTTTTATATTAGCTCCTGCTAGACGGTTATGCCTTATAACCAGTTAATTAGCAAACGTTTCGAATCATACCTTAACATTGATCTTTCCGAAATACGTACAGACTTAAAACTAAACATTCACGAAGCATGCAATATTTCAAAATTAATGGTTACCTATGAATTTATTTTTTTAAATGTAGAAATTTTGTTTTTTTATTATTGGACTTGATTTATAGTTTTAAATATGTACATAACTATATAGTTAAAAAAACTATATTATTTTTTTTTAATATTTTATACATAAGCTTCATTAGCTCTAGCATGCAAGTAAATACTTATCAAGAAGAAATGTGTTTTGTTTTGAGTAATATATTTTAAAGTGGCTTTCTTTCAATATTTAATATTGTCCATTCATACTTCACACTCTATATTCGCACTCAATTCGGCAAACTATGGTATTTGTGTGAGTATGTATGTATATGAGACTTATAAAATAGTTTTATTTATGACTGAAAACACATGCGAATTCTCAATAATGAAAGTAAATATACAAGGGACTCGATGAATATTTACAAAAGCACAACTGACCAGCTCGCACATATTTATTGATGTTCACACATACGGCATTCAACTCACTTACGCATGAGAAAAATCAAGTAAGTGTAATGTATTTTAATTACCTTCTTTTGCTGCATATACATCTGTACAGAAGCAGCCGACGTAGCTACATTTCCGGGACCCGAAGCCTGAGTTCCATTTTCTGGCTTCAATTGTGAAATGGGCTCGGCTTTGATGGCAGTAACGGCCATGGATAGGCCATCCGGGTTTGTGGTACCCACCTGAGTACCTGTTGACGGGTAGCCAGCTGGTGCGCCTGGAAATGGCGCTACTCCAGCCTGCACTACGTGCTGCAATTCGTATGGTACCATAGAAAGAAAAAGTAAATGTATTTAGTTAATGCTGAATACCCCTTTTTAAATGAAGTTCAAAAATGATATAAAAGCAATGTGTAAATATAACGACATTGCTGAACTCTCTATTTGCCTAAAAATACGGAAAAACTAATCATTCTTATTCATTTACAGATACAGGTTGAAATATTTTACTGACATACTTCTTTTAGCTCTGCTATGAACTAGATACAAATTAAATTTGGTAGCAATAAAATATTGTAGATACATAACATTGTTATTAAATTTTTTTCTTTTGTGTCATTTTTGATTATGAAATAGCAAATGTTAGAGCCCAGATTGGTGCGCATACCGAGTGCAACAATAATTCGGAATAACCACTCAAAATAAAAACTATACAAACCATTTATTTGCATTTGAACGCGCACAGCACCTCAATTAATTGAATCAGATTTGGTTGCGAATGGAATTATAAAAGTTGGCCCACTAACTCTACCACCTCGAAAGTATCACCAAACCACTCACAATACTAGTAGCTACTCGCTTCCTCAAATGTCAAGCATGAACTTAATATGTCATATATGTATGTACATATGTATATTCAAATATATTTTATTATGGGCGAGCTACATCGGGTGGGCGAAATTCGATTTCTTGTGAACGTTTTCATGCGATTCACCCTCTTTCGATTGGCGTTGACTGCTCATTAGCTAGGCACATCACGACTATGTTGATTTATTTCAATAGTTTGACAAAAATCAACAATGTTAGGTAATTCTATATCTTTTGCTCGTTGTTTTGCAAAGTAGATTAAAGTAATATACATTTGTGTACCAACTTTGAAGCTATTTCTAACAATTGTTACGAAAATGTGTAATATAATTGTCGCTTTGCAACCGTTGAAGCGATTTTCGGCCTCCTCCAATTTGTGTATTTGCGTCTTGATGTTTTTTAAACTAATGCTAAGCCGCTTCCAAGCTCCTAATGGTTTTTTATGAGGAGCTTCATGTCAGAAATGCACTCGGAGGAGTTGACATTCCCTTCCGAAGGGCGACACAATTGGAAATTTCAACTTAATTTTTTGTTTAAATTAATGTTCTACAGATTTGGAATTCCACTTGTTTACTGTGGTCGTTAAGGAAGTATACTTGTTAATAATATAAATAGCGCATGAGTTTAAAAAGTTAGCACCGAAAAGCATTGACTTACAAACCGATCTTTTTATTAAATGGAAAACACTGCAGGGTTTGCTGGAAAAATATCAGCGTTTATATTCAATTAATTTGTGATATAAACATAACTGAGCATTTGAATTTCCTTTCAGAAATTAAATTATAACAATGGAAGCTTTACACAGAAATTATAAATTGAAAATTTTACACTGATTATAGCCTTCTTTTCGCTGCCTGGTGCCAGCGTAGCCGTTGTCTCTTCATTCGCTGGACTATGTCAATATCTTCATATAACTCGTACAGCTTATCATTCCATCGTCTGCGATATTCCCCGTTGCCAACACGCAAAGTTCCATAAATTTTTCTCTGGAAAACTCCTAACGCTGACTCATCGGATGTTGACTTGTAGTTAGGTTTTCGTTCGTCGGGAGATGACTTTACTTTTCAATTGCCTACTCAGTCCACAGTAGCACCTGTTGGCAAGGGTTATTCTGCGTTGGATTTCCAGACTGGCATTAGTGTTGTTATTAATACTGGTTCTAAGATAGACGAAATTATCTTCGACTTCCAAGTTATTGCTGTCAACAGTGATGTGAAATCCGAGTCGCGAATGCGACGAATATTTGATAACAGGAGATGTTTCCTCTTGTCCTCATTCACTACCAGTCCCATTTGCATCGCTTCTTTATCGAGTGTGGAGAAAGCAGAACTAACGGCGCGGTTGGGGAGGCCAATAAAGTTGATATCGACGTACGCCATTAGCTGTACACCCGTATAGAAAATTGTACCTTCCCTATTCAGCCCTGCAGCTCGTATTATTTTCTCCAGCATCAAATTAAAGAAGTCACACGATAAGGAATCACCCTTCCCGATTTCGACGGAGCTTTTAGTGCTGCTTAGTGTAGCTCCTTCTCGTGCTGTCGAAGGCTGCTTTAAAATCGACGAAGTATTCTTTTTTCACGGGTCTTTCGCATGGTGAATATCTGGTCACTGGACATTTTTTTCTATCGGCAAATTTTAACACATGTGCAACGAAATTTCGCAACAATATCAGATAAAACAATATGCTCGCGAAGAAATTCAGCGCAAATGATTCTGATAAATTTATCGTTTAATAATAATAATCCGAACGAAAGTTTTTGAAACATATTATTATACATGTTGTTTTAACGAAATTGTCCATAACTGAAAACTGTTAGAACTCGTGTAATCTGTTGAAGAGATTTCAATTTTATTAATTATTTATTTACTTTATTAATTACCAACTGATCTTTTAGTTGATTTAATTATATCCTTTGAATTTGAAATAGTTCGAAGAACATTTTAATACTTGCGAAGATTTCTATGGCAAATCTTCTTGGCCATATATTTCACCAAGCCCTAATTTGAAAAGAAGTGTGAGTAACCGAAGTGTCAACCAACCGTTTTTGTTGAATATTGAATTTTAACTTAAAGGATCTCTTTCTATTGAGACATGTTTGAGCTTTCATCCATTTCACATAAAACGGCGGGCGTTGGATGTTTTGCTTCGATTTAACCGTGGGCCAGCTTATTATCGCCTGATGCATTAAGTGAAAGAGACGATACATACGAGTATATGTATGTATATGTAATTATAAAATATGAACGAACAAGTGTAGATGACACGTTTAATAACAAGTGTTTGTGGCAGCTGGTATGCTGCAATTTTTCAACATTACAGTTTATAACTTATGATCGCAACTTGCCACTTGCATATCATTGCGGACATAGCAAGTTTTGTCGCCTGGTTAATCACAAACGTCAGTTTACGATTACATAAACGCTTCGCTTCGTTGAAGATTTAGCATTTTGGCGGGGGTGAAGAGTTCTGCTATGTTTCATACGCGTCCTGCCAAAAATACACAACAGTACTAATGCGATGCAATTAGCTGGTGCAGCGCCGAGTCAACACACCGAAAATATCTCCCCGCGCCAATGCCCTGTTGCCATCGTCCGAAACAGTCAACTTGGCAGCAAACGGACGGAAATTTATTGTGAACGTGTGAATCAATGAAGATGCCCCATACACGTATATATGTGCACTGTTCACACGCGATTGCACTTGCCAAATACAGGGGAACATAATTAATAAGATGCACATAATTTTTCCTTTCACCACTCAGTTATCTGCATTTTGGGACTTTCTAATAGGCCATCACGATGCAAATCGGTAATGGATAATATTGATATGCGTTAATGATAGGTTTATTTAAAAATATAACCATTCTTATATTGAGGTATGATTTTATATATTTCTCATATCTTCTGGCTGCCGTTTCGGTTTTAGTCATGAGAGTGATGTCTTTCTACTCTGCTTGAGTTAATTGATTTCCTTGTAATCTAAGTGAATGCAGATTTTGTTTTAGATAATATGATCGAATGAATTAACAAAAAAAAAATATATTGATTACGCAGAAGTGCGGCCTGCGTATTTAACTGTTAAAATCAATATCTAATGCCGCGTTTCGGAGCAGTGTCAGTAGTTTCGGGATGTACTGCACTAATAACTTTTACCTAAAGTACCATATGTATTGTGAAATCACTTAATTATGTATGTATTGCCAAATTGGCTATGTTTTCAAATGTTATTATTGTGCTGCGTAAACCTTTTAAATTGTTTTGTTGTTTTTTTATGAATTCTTGTTCTTACATTTCAGAGGATGCACTTGAATTAATTTGAACACCACATATGTACATACAGTGGCTCATTGCCCTTTTGGTATGCGTGTAGATTATCTATCGTATCGTACTATCGATTTTAAACACGAATTCATCTGAAAACGAGCGCTTTTGCACGCTTAAGCAAAGTTTATTTTGTGGAATACATGATTTTGTTCGCACATAGGCTAATTCACTATGAGTTTACCTACTGATATATAGGGATCATTTTGAACTACTCGTGTGGTGGTTTTTCGGGACCTACCAACTGCATGTACAAAGTCTAAAGAAATCTGGCAATTGTTACATTTTCTAACCGATTCACGTTCACTAAACGCCTAATGTTTTAGCTCCGAAAAAAGAAAAAATTGTTTTTGAAGATACACAATACCATTGGCAATCCTTGTTTATTTGTAACAAATTAGAATTTTGTACCATAACAGCAAGATTATGCAGGCTTTCTTAACACAGCAATAAATATACCTCTTGTAAGTAATAAAAACTAGTAGATGTTTAAAAAATAGTATTTGTTTTTTTGTCCGTCCTGGTATTCTACATACTAAGACAACATATCTGTGTGACGGTGGTAGAAACTATTATAATTCCCGTTACTGGTGAACATGTACACGTTGGATAACAAATAATAAACTCGTAAGTTTTCAACTTTAAAATACTAGTATTGTGCATTCCAGTTTAGTTTGGCTTTTCACCGCTGTGTACATATGTAAATATAGCAGTTGTAATATTATTGCCCCATCAACTAAACTAGTCGGCAATGGTGCTTTAGCTGTTAATCACTTACACTGAAAAATAAAAATCTAGCTAGTATTTCAAATATGAGTTCATATCAGTTCGCTCTTTGATCGCAAGGCAACAGTATTAAGCAAAAAAAAAAAAAAATGTATAAATATAATTTAAAGGAAATTATTAGTAAATAATTTTATAGATATCTCGAACTTTCTATACAGAGTTTTCCTGGACTTCGCTATCGGTTTGTATACAATTTCATATATATACGAGGTGTGATCAGAAAATAACCGTTACTTACAATTTTTTCAATAAGTATTTAATTATTCATTTATACCAGCGTTTTTTCCAATCCTCGAAACAATTCGAAACGCATTTTTTGGTATCGCCCATAGCTCC